TCCAAGGACCCGTCCCTCCTGGCAACATGTCCAAAGTATGTCAGACGAAGCCCCAGAATCCTTGCCTCCAAGGAGCAGCTTGGTTTAATCCTCTCCAAGGTGAATCTGTTTGTTTTCCTGGCAGTCCATGGTACACTCACTAGGATGGCTAAATTAAAACAAGCAAATAGAAAATAACAAATATTGGCTAAGATGTGGGGAAATGGGAACCCTTAAGTATGGCTGGTAGGAACATAAACTAGTATTATCCTAGTATGGTAAACTTCCAAGGAAAAAAAGTTAATACGGTTTATGAAGGTAGCATAAAGGAGGTATGCTTAATGAAAGACAAGATAGGCCATGCAGGAGACAAAAGGAAAGAAAGGGAAAGAAATACCCCTTGAAGGTCAGGGGGCACCCAAGCCCTTTGCATGCTGCTCAGAGTTGGAGAAAGAGATAGGAAGTCCTTAAAAATCCTTGCTGTTGTCAGGTATCATCAAGTTGAATATAATTCATAGTGACACTACAAACAACAGATCTGAACCTTGTGCTATTCTGAGCCATCTTCACAACTCTGACACACGCAAGGCTATTGTTGCAGTTACTATGTATGTCAATACACCTGGATGAGAGTCTTCCTCTCCTTTCCTGCCCCTCCACCTTTCCAAGCATGACGTCCCTCTCCAAGGAAAAGCATCTCTAGCAACATGCTCAAAGTATGCAAGACATCACTATCTTTGCCTCCAAGGAACGTTTTGGTTGCACTTTCTCCAAGAAATATCTGTTCTTTTGGCAGTCCATGAGATATTCAGTACTCTTCTCCAACATCACAGTTCAAAGCATCAATTCTTCTTCGGTCATCATTACTCATTATCCAGCTCTCAGCAGCATAGCAAGGTCATGGTCTGAATCAAGCACGCTTTAGTCCTCAAATTAACATCACCGCTGCTCAGTAATTTGGCGATATCCCAGAATGAAGGCTTTCCCAATGCAATACAACTCCTAATCTTCTGACTGCTGGTACCAAGTGTACTGATGGTGGATCCAAGTTAGATGAAGTTGTTGATAGTTTCAATCTTTTCTCTATTATGATGTCACCTACTGGACTAGTGGTGAGAATTTTTGTTTCCTTAAGATTGAGGTGCAATCTATGTTGAAGGCTTAAGTGTTTGATCCTCTACAACAAATACTTCAAGTCTCTTCACTTCCTACTAGCAAAATTGTGACATCTGTAACACTGAAGGTTATTGATGAGTCTTCCCTAATCCTGATGCCATATTCTTTTTCACAGAATACATCTTCTTCAATAATTTGCTCAGCATACAGATTGAATAGGTGTGGGGAAAGGACACAACCCTGACACATGCCTTCCTTAATTCTAAACCATGTAATATTCCCTTGCCTTATAATTCCACTCCTAGGTACATATCCAAGGCTTGAAAGCATAGACTCAAAGAGACACTTGCACACTAATGCTCATTGTAGTATTAATTCACAACAGCCAAAAGGTGGAAATAACCTAAAAGTCTATCAAACATACATGAATAAACAAGATGTGTTTCGTATATCCAAGAGAATATTATATTGGGACCTAGTGGGAGAATGAAATGGTATATTCTATAGCATGGATGGAACTTGATATTATGTTGAATTCAATAAGTCAATTAAAAACATTATTTAATGACTTCATGCTTAGTGGATATGGAGTTGTGCTGCCAACTCAAAGGCATAAAGTCCAAGTCCACCAGTTACTTAACAGGATAAAGATGGGTGACCTCCTCTGTGTGATTTTACAGCCTCTGAAAACACCCTGCACAGTCATCTATGAGTGGGTTCCAATCCGATGGCAATGATGTAGTAGAGTGCACAAAAAGACAAGAAAAGGCAAATGTATAGAGACAAAAGTTTATTAGTAATTACTAAGAATGGGTGTGAGAGAGGATAAGAGAGTTAATATAAAGGAAAAATTAAGTGTTTAAGGGTACAACGGAACAGTAAATTTTTTTAACTGCTGTAATTTGTACAGTTTAAGATGTACACAGTAACTTACTGTAAATTGTAAAAAAGTTGAATTGGTAAAAATTGTGTGACAGATACATTTATAATGATAAAAAAAGCTGCTAAGCCTGCTTATATATAATTAAATACCTTAAAGAATTTAAATCTTTGATAGGATCCTGGTTTCATAGCCTTAACAATGTGTTGAGTGCTTCTGTTAATTGGCTTAGTAATATGTTTCGTGCTTCTGTTCTAGTTGGCTATATAGTGCCTACGGTCTTAAAAGCTTACAAATGGCCACCTAAGGCACAAGAATTGGTTTACATTCAACTAAAGCAACAGAGGAAAAAGGGGAAGCCAGAAACAGAAGAATATGGAAAGTGTGTCTAATTGCCCCATCAGCGTCCTTTGTCACAAGGCCAGAAGAACTAGAGAGTGCCTGCCGACCATTTCAGAACATTCTGATCAATGATTTCATAGGAAAGTTTCATATTCTCATGGACTCAAGAGTTTCTGGAGTTAGGGAAGGTGAATAAACCCCTGAAACCAATGCCCTGAGATAATTACTAAATCGTAAACTAAAAATATCCTAAGGTCATCTTAAGACTAAATAACTGTTTAGCTTAGCATGCAAAAACAGTCTGCCTTGAGCATTTGCTCTTTTAAGAACCATCAGTATGGTCTCCAGGGCAAAGAGGGTTTTTATATGGGATCAAATTTATAAGAATAACTAAAAAAATTAGATAAGGACCTTAGGGAGCAATGAGTTTATGTTACTTAAGGAGTAAAAAAATCCAGAAAAGGAGGCTAAGAATGGTTGCACAATTTAAAAAAAAAATGTAATTACTTTCCCTAAATTGTACATGTAGAAAATGATGTATATTTTGCTGTGCGTATTGTCATGACAACAACAACAATAATAAAATCTAGAAGAAAAAAAAGCATATCAACCATACTCAAGCTCTTAAGTAATGAAATGTTAGACTAATTCTAAAGTTCCAATTCCAAATTGAAATGATTTTTTAATTTATTCAAGCAAAGAACCACTGCTGTCATAAACAACAAAAGAACATTAAACTTAACACTAAAAACACTCTCAGTTTTCTATGATATAATGTAAAAGTGCCTCCTAATCCCTTCAATGTGGCAGAAACGTTTAAAACAGAGAGTTTTAAATGAGGCAGCATCATCCAAAAATAAAATATTAGCTTACTGATTTATACATCATATTGTTCCACTGGCAGGTATCTTCAGTCTTCAAAGAACAAGGAGCTGCAACTTTTGACTGAGCCCAGCATTTCAAAATTGGTAACTCTAGGTCAAAAAAGTGTTAGAATGTTAGAACAAGATGCTAGAAAACCTGTATTTAGGCTAGAGGCCAGAGTCCTAATGAACTGGTCTTTTATGTCAAGAGAGGAGTATTTAAACCTTTTCAGGGGTGTGTGTGTGTGTGTGTGTGTGTGTGTGTGTGTGTGTGTGTGTGAGAGAGAGAGAGAGAGATATTTGGACATATTTATACTTTAGTAGCCTGCTCTATATACACATGAATGTCTAATTAGAAAGACTTTTGAAGGCTGCACAGAAGTTGATTTACACAGCTCATCAAATTTTCATATAGTAAACATACTCATGTAATCAAGAAATAGAACAACATCAGAATAACTTTTTAAAATATTTAGGTACCATCAACAGATAGAAAACTAGATTGGATGAAGAAAGCTAAAAGAGAATTTTCTACATTTTAGACTTTTCTTATAATGAAATATATGCAGGTTGTTGTTCCTATGTGCCATGGAGTCACTTGCGACTCTCAGAGATGCTATGTACAACAGCTCCGAAGCCAGCCCCATCCTGAGCCTGTCTCACTGACTCCAACACAACTATATCAATTGCCCCAATTACTGGATCAATGCATCTCATCCAGGGGTCTTCCTCTCACCCTTCCAAGTATGATGTCCTCCTCCAAGGATTGGTCTCTCCTGGCCATGTGCCCAAAGTATATTAGAGTTTCAAAATCCTAGCCTCCAGGGAGAAACTTGGTTTTACCCTCCCCAAAATAGACTTACTTGTTTTCTTGGTGGTCCATGGTATGTTCAAGATTCTTCTCCAGCACCACAACTCAAAGGCATCAATTCTTCTGTCATCCTTAGTCATTATCCAGTTCTCTGATACATAGCAAGTAATTGTGAAGACCAGGGCCTGAATTAGGCTTACCTTAGTCCCTTGACTGGCATCATTGCTTCTCAGTACTCTGACAGATTTTCCCAGGGCAAGTCATCTTTTCATTTCCTGACAGCTGGTAGCACACATGATTAAAAACCTTCTTCCAATCCTCAGTAAAAGTGATACTCACATTTATAAACATTTTGTGTTAGCCCAAACTTGGAGCCCAAACACCAAAACTGTTCTTTAATTAATGAAAAAAGAAAAAAAAGAAAAAGGCTTGATTCCAGAAAACTGAAGTTGGTGAAAGCAGTTTTTCAGTTTACCCAAATCTCCACATAAAAACAAAAAGCACAATTAAAGAAAACGAAAAATCCATGGTTTTATATATACATATATAACAAAACAAAGTGAAAAAGTATTCTCTCAAATTGCAAAATACATGTAAGTGTAGACAAACACCAAAACCCACAAGTCTTGCAATACCAGAATTTTTTAAAAAATTTTATTATTTTGCATGTGTACTATCAAATCAGATCTGACTGGCACAGGAAGAGCTTGCCCCTCCTTTTCCAGCAGAGCATCTGGTGGATTTGAACCATGTATTTCTGGGATTTATACCATCTGTGATCACCAAGTTGTGCCAAGAAATCCAGAGAACAACCATTTGGCCAAATGACTGGAAGAGATCTATATTTGTTCCCATTCCAAAGAAGGGTGACCAAAGAAGAGTGTGGAAACCATAGAACAATATTGATTTCACATGCAAGCAAGATTCTACTGAAGATTATCCAAAAACAACTGGA